TAACGGAATCATAAACAAAAGTATGATATGAGATGATAATAATGGAGCATAAAGATAAAAGAGAGATAGGGAGCAAGAAGGAAACATAAAAAAAAATTAGTACAATGATATCGTTAGTGAGTTAGTAGTTAGTTGTTAGAACAAATGATCAACGATGGTTAACTCATGCACTTAAGCCAAAGTTGATGAAAACTTATTAGAGGGTTGATAAGGCCAAAGCCTCCTAAAAACAAGCTTCATTGGTGATGGACTTAAGACAAATAATCAACCATACTTGGACTTTCAAACATAGGTTTGAGCCACGAATGATCACTTTCTGATTACGGGACAATTTAGCGCTATGTTAAGTAATCGTAATCGGGTTTATGTAGTAACCACGATTATCTGAGGCCGGTCAATAACAATGTTAGTGCTAATTCATGCTAGATAAGTGATATGTAGATCACTCTCCGAAAGCAATGCCGCACAAAAAGAAAATAGGTAACGATATCATCTTCATCAAGAACTTGAAATAAGTTCAAAAGATATCAAAGATTTTTATCAATCAAAAGAAAAAGCGAAGTGGAGAGGGAATTCCAAGTTGAATTAAAAGTTCAAGATCATTCCATCTTTAAGTTCATCCACTCATCTTGGTGGATTAAAGTACTAAACATATCATTAACTCAAAACACCTAAAATGAATTGAACAATTCACTTTAAAGATAGATTTGAATTGATTAATGTTTATCCAAATTCATCTATACCCTAATTCCAATGAATTTAAAGAGGAAATGAAAGAAGAAGAGGTGGGAACCAAAATAGTCCACTGAATTTAAAGATGAATGTTTATCTAATGAATTGACCTTTAAAAGTGTATTTCATGCCCAAAAACAAAAGGAAATGAAAGAAGAAGAGGCGGGAACCAAAATAGTCCCAAAATAAAGCTAAAAAATCAAAAATATCACTGAGTAACCGGTTACCCTATATAAGGTAACCGGTTACTCTGCTAACAGCAGCGAAAAAACAGCAAAAATAACTTCAAAACAGGGCCAAAAGGGGGCAATAACTTGATCTATCATTTCTACAAACACCTCATGATCAAGGGTGCAATCGAGCACGAAAATTCAAGTAAAATAACAACAATTAATCATCAATAGAACATGATATGAAAGATCCAAAGATCAAGCAATAATGATCAATAATGGATCACATTGTGAAGGATGTATAAAGAGCAACAATGGTGGATCAAGAAATTACCACTCCAAATATGAAAATTCTTCAATAAACTCCACAAACCCCACTTTAAAGCTTTGATCTACTAGAATTAAGGATGAAAAAGTGAATGGATGAAGGTTTAACTCAAAGATTAGTAGGTTCTAATGATGAACTTGCTAATCTTTCAAAAGGAGGAAGAGCTTTGGTGAATTTGGTAATTGGAGAAAAATTGAAAGTCAAGAAAGAGTTTGACAAGGTGATTTTAGCTATCAAAAGCCTGAGAAATGAGAGAAATGAGGCCTCTATTTATAGGATTTAGGCTTGGAAAATTTGGTGGATTGGAGTTCAGTTGGGAAACAAAATTAGGCTTGGAATTTGAATTTGGAGGGAAATTCAAGATCAAAGGGTTATTAGTGAAGGTGTATGATGGGAATTAATTATAATAAGGTAGGAGATTTAAAATTAAGTGATCTAGAATATTCTCATGTTGCAATATTTGAATTTGGTGCCAAAAATGCTGCAGAATTTGAATTTGCCCAATTTTCACAAAATTCTCCCAAAGTAACCGGCTACTCTATATTGGGTAACCGGTTACTACAAGCAAAAATGTTAAAAATTGCCTTTTTGATATGTTGTCTTGGTTACTCTATATTGTCAAAGAAGGCGTGGAAATAAACACATGAACCTTGGAATCTCTTGAATGAAAGTCAATCAAAACTTGGAAGACTCTTGATCAGATGATTTTGAATTGTTTGCGGATCAACTTCGACTTTTCTCATATGAAATTCATTCGAGCTGAGGGACTGATATTTGATATCTTTGCTCCAAATTCTTCCTGAAAAAGTTAGTAAAAAACACATATTTTTTGGATTTTGATTAATGGTTAGTAAACATAAACATAAACAAAATACCAAACAAGCAAGAAAACAAAGATGCCTGGTGATCTCCCAAGAACAAACCTGCAGAGGAAGGCAAGAGAACCAAAACTTGCGATCTTGTTTTTGAGATGAGATGCCAATGATATGTGGGATTTTAGTGTTAAAAATTAGGGTATTACAGTGTGCCTCGAGAGTCATTCATTCGAAAATCCAAGGAATGCTAGATTCCGAGAATCCTTTTCTTTCGTTATTGATTGCAAAAATGTTTGATATAGATTAAGTATCTTAAGATGAAAAGTTGAATGAATAACAACCCAAAGCGTGCACCTCAAGAACCATTCATTCGAAAATCCAAGGAATGCAAGACTCCAAGAATCTTCTTCTTTCAAAGTTTAATTATGAAAACAGTTTGAGAAAAGATTGAATCAGATTGGTTGAAAAGAGATTGACGGCGAGGCAAAAGGTGTTCAACTTACAAGTTTGAATAAAATACCACTTGACGTTGGATCAAGGGTTTGCGAAAGAAGTGAGAATCAATACTAGTCCCTAGGGGTTCTCCTAATAACGAAACCATGATGAAATATGCCAGTGTGTGCATTAGGTTGATGGCGAATGCTAACGAGCAATCGACTTACGAGGTTGTCGAAAATGGCTCAATGATGAATCAATAATTAATTTGAAAATGGTTTAGTCTATGCTAGTCCCTAGGGGTGCTCCTACTAAATAAACCACAATCAAAGCAATACGAATGCATACATCGGAATGGGAGCGGGGTAAATGTATGTTACACGGGATTGCATAAAATAATAGGGCTTATTGTAAGGTAGCCTAAGAGGAAGTCATGTGTGTGTGAGGTGTCCTAAACTAAGCCACGGGCGAGAGTCGGATAAAATCTCCTTGGTTAGGGTTTATGTACATAGTCCAAGTTCCGTTGCTCGGAAAAATAACCACAATCCATCAATTTAGGATTTTAGGGTTTCGATTGTTATTAGTGTATTTTCGAATAGTGTGAACAAAGTATGAATAATAAGAATAAGATGAATATGATATGAATAATATGAATAATATGAACAAATGAATAATATAATCAAGATAATATCAACAATAATATAATCAAGATAATATCAACAATAGTATATGAACAATGATATATTGATGAAAAAATAAATCAAGAGTATATTGACTAAAATTAAAGTTAGGGATTAGTGATTAATCGGATAAATCGGGTCGACTTTAGCGTTAAACTATCGTAGCACGATCTATGACGAAGATCATACTATAGAAGGTCGCATAAGAACGGTATTTATGCTAAAACACGATGAAAAAATGATATTGAGAATCATTATCTAAAGAACTCGTGCCACACGAAAAGAAAAGCGGACGATCTCATCTTAATCACAAACTTGCGTCGATTAATCGAAGGTAACCTATCACGATCCCAAAGTATAGAAAATGATCTCAATGATCATTCTCTACAGATTTGAAATAATGAAGGTTAAACAACCTCAACCAATCAACATTCGTGAATAAAAAGACTTCATTGATCAAAAGTTGAAATTGAAAAAAAATAAAAATAAAACAACAACCAATATGAGAAGTAAATCAACTCATAGTGAATACAAACTAAAACCTCATCAAGAAACTTGAACCTAATTAAATAATAATTAAAGAATGTAAAATAAAAGAAAAAAAATAAATAGATAGAGTAAGAAATAAGAGGGGAGGTATGAAATCAAAATAGAGTGAGTGAAGAGCAAAATCATTTGGGCCTATTGAAGCCCATCATTCACTACCATGACTTAAGAATAAACAGCTATAAAAGAAAAAAGGTTGGTGATAATCCAAATGTGGGTTGAGCCCACTATCACCCACATTGGATGAATTTCCACAGCAACAACACGCTTATTAGAAACAAGGTTTAAAAAAAATCAAGCTTTTTTTTTTTAAATACGCAGATCAAAGTAAAAAAAAAAAGAGAAATAAAAAACTCCACGGTCAAACAATGATATGAACGTTGAACATCTTCTTCTTAAAGGCGAATCGAAGAAAAGAAAAAAAAATAGCGAGCCATCAACGATTCCTGGAATACCCTAATTTTTACCCTTAAGATCCTACATATCATATACATATTATTCCACAACCAAGATCGCAAGCTTTGGTTCTTTCCTTCCTCTGCAGGTTTGTTCTTGAAAGATCATCGGGCGCCCTTGTTTTCTTGTTTGTTTATGTTTATGTTTAATAACCTTAATTTAACTCTTTTTCAGAAAGAATTTGGATCAAAGATACAAATACCAGTCCCTCAATGATCCATCAATGATTCCCACTCATTTTCTCCTGCAATCTCTCTCTACAACCGCTTTGGTTCAAGGTTCGTCTCTGGTTCGCTCACGTCATGATTTTGTTCGTTCAAGTTTGTCGGTTTCTCATTCCGTTTTTTTTTCATTTTTGTCCACTCTTCTTCTCACATTTTTTGCTGATTCCGAAATGATTTTGTAAATGGGTTTGAGAGGATTTGGAAAATGGGGAAGGTTTGATTATGATTCAGGTGAAGAAAGGTTGTGAGGGTCGATTTGAGTGTGAATAAGGTTTGTTGTTGATTGAGTATAGAGGTTGAAGGAGATTTGGATTGACTCAGTTGTGACTTTGGCAGAGCTCTCTTGGCTGCTTCGAGCTTGTTTTCAGAGTGAGGAGGAGCTTCATTTTATAGAGAGGATTGAGGGTGTTTTGGGAAAAATTGAGGAAAGAGTTGTTACGCTTCTGAGTTTTGATATTGTCATTCGTTTGTAAATGCGCATTTCGCGAGAATTCGCAGCTGGCTATGTGGAAGGTTCTCATGTGCATTTGGAATTGTACAGGTTTTGTGTGAGAGTACTCGTTGTGGGGCCCATTTTCATTGTTTAAGTTTCCACTTGAAGAGTTGAAGACTCATCAAACATGAATTTGGGAATTACTGAGAAAAGCAATTATATACCTCGTACTTTGAAACAACTTATCTACTCCTCTTCCATACCATGCTCTGAATTGTGGGGCCCATTTTGTTGCTTTTTCTTGCAAGTGTAAATGTTTTCGAATTGTCTCCCCATGAATCTTTAAAAATAGCCTGATGACAGCTTGTAGAAACTCAAAAATTATTTTTGGAGGGGAGCTTAAAATAAAATAATCCATCAGTTGTTCAATTGATACCAATTCGGATCTCTTCTCATGTTCTTGCTCATTATCATCAATGATCTGAAGCACTCAGAGTTCTATATCTAGAGTAGAAGGAGATAATCTTTTGATATAATCGGTGAATGCTCCATAATTGTTTGAATCCTTTGGAGATTGAAGAAGATGAAGAAAACAAGATGATAATGTATCTAATTTTGTTTTGTTTATCTGTTTTTCATTGCCTATTCCACCATTCTCCTACACTTACCCCTTCCCAGACTCAAATTTCCCTTGAGAGCAACAAAACTGAAGGCAGGGAGAATGGAGCCTTTTTAGGATTTTCGGAAGGCTCGATAGGTTTATTGCGAACCTTTATAATTTCTAGATTGATCAAGCTTTGCCACTGGCTCTTGGGAAGCAATGAAAGTGTAACTAAATCGGGTATTTGCTTTTCTTGAGTTGGGAAAGCCGAAATTATTGTTGGAGCATCTTTTGGTTGATAAGCATTCACCAGGTCACCAGAATGCTCAGCTTGAGCATATTTTGTAGAAGAGATATTTGGCAACTTGTAAAGTTTTATACATGGGCATTTGGTGAGGTCTTCTTTGTTTGGGTTCATGTTGTATGTGTGGTTCACATGGAAATAGTATAGTGATGGTTGCAGGTTTGTGTATTGATGCTTCATGAAAAAATATCTTGGTTGCATGTTGGTTTTTCATATGGCTTGCGATTTGGCATTTGACAAGGTTGTTAAGGTCATACTTTGTGAAACTCTGTGGAATAGTATAAATTTGTGCTGCAACGTGTGGACATTGGTGAATCAAAGGATCATGAGGGAAATGTTTCTCAAGTGTATTTTATTCATGCTATATAATATATTTTTCTTGAAACATTGTATTTGGGCTTGTTCCCTTGTGTTCTTTTGGTAACATTTTGAATGGGCTTATGGATAAAAAAACATGATTTTGAGATGGATATTAGAATGGGTATGGAAGGATTCATGGGCTTTTGCTTGGTAATTTATCTTTGTAGACCCACTTTTTTATGAATGGACTTTGGAATAAAAACATGAGCTTTAGAACTTGTCCATGCTTCCGTTTGTATGCTTGAAATATTGAATCACGAGAACTATGAATTCCTTATAATCCTTGATTCATGATTAACCATGAGCTTAAAGCTTGCATTTCTGATTAAACCCCAAAAATCTCATGAGTCAACACCCTTTTTAGATCCTTCATTTGAAATGAAATTTTGAACTAAGCATAAATCGATCTTGCACTTTGAATGAATTGGACTTTGAATCAACAACGAATTCATTTGAACTTTTCCATCTAAACACTGATAAACCAAAACTTTCACCATGAATCAAATGAGCGCCCATATTCCCTGAAATTAGAAGATAATGACTTGATATGGATTGTGTTGCAACAACACCAAAATCCTAATTTCAAGGAACTGATTATGTATTATTCTCCACTATGAAACAACCTATTGTCTTGATCCATACACTTGTAACTGAATCAATTCCACTTTAACCAATGATCAATTCACATTCTAAAGAACCTCAACCATTACTGCACACACTTGGCCTGATAAACCTGCCTAAAACATTATTCAATCCAGCAACACCATAAGTAGAAACATCATATTTTTTTGGATTTTCTGAATATTTCTTAGTGGACGGATGTACAGGTGAAAGTTATACATAGGAAGGACAAGTTTGGGATATGACAGATGCCCCTATCTATTTGGCTTGAACCTAGTAAGATGAGTTGTTACGACGTTCATTCTTTCAAGGTGTAAGTCGATTAAATATGAAGAAGGCCCTAAATTTGTCCGAAAAGAAAGGAAATGCTTGAGAAGTTGAATACTGGCTCAATGTTGACCCTCTAATGGATACTGAATAACTTGAAAATGTCTTTACCACCAAAAGGGTGATAACATAAAATTTTGACACCAAAAGGATGACAGACCTATCACCAAAAGGATGATAGTAAACACACGCATAAATATATCTGACACCAAAAGGATGATAGTAAACTGAATCGACTTGCTATTACCAAAAGGGTAATAATAAGTACCCACACAAACCCTTCACCAAAAGGATGAATAAGGTTAAAGCTCGCTATTACCAAAATGATAATAGTAAGCACTCACACATTTCCAACACCAAAAGGATGACGGGTCTATCACCAAAAGGATGATAAAAAATTCACACACACAAAGATATCTGACACTAAAAGGATGACAGACCTATCACCAAAAGGATGATAGTAAACACATACAACGACCCTTCACCAAAAGGATGAAAATGAGGTCTAAACTCGCTATTACCAAAAGGATAATAGTAAGAAATCACATAGGATTCTAATGTTGTGTTCACCAAAAGGATGATTCACAAACCAAATAATCCACTGATTATCGACACCAAAAGGATGACGGATCTATCACCAAAAGGATGATAGAGAAACACACGCACACGAATGCGACACCAAAAGGATGACAGATCTATCACCAAAAGGATGATAGAGAGCACACACAAAAAATATGGAACTAAAAAGATGACATACCTATCACCAAAAGGATGATAGTAAACACACACGACTCGACCCTTCACCAAAAGGATGAACATGAGGTCGAAACTCGCTATTACTAAAAGGATAATAGTAAGTACACACTGTGTTCTCGACACCAAAAGGATGACGAGTCTATCACAAAAAGGATGATAGAGTACTCACGCAACTCCAACGCAAAAAGGATGACAGATCTATCAACGAAAGGATGATAGTGAACACACACAATGACCCTTCACCAAAAGGATGAAAGTAAGGTCGAAACTTGCTATTACCAAAAGGATAATAGTAAGAAAACACATATCGAAGGTTGTCATTCACCAAAATAATGATACATAGACCAAAGGTTTAGGGATTGTCGATACCAAAAGGATAACAGTAACAATATAAGCTACTACCACCAAAAGGATGATAGGAACTTCCCAAATTTGAGGGCCACCAACACCAAAAGGACGAAGGTCAGGTTGAATCGAATGGATTTGGCTACCACCCAAAGGATGATAGAGAGAAAATTGACAAAAGTCAAGTTTGCTGGATATATGATGAGTGATGCTTATTTGAGGACATAAACAAAAGGTTGAAGCACAAAAGGTCACTGAGGAATACCACCACCCTTGTCAACAAAAGGTTGAAAGGAAACAATTCACTAGGGAGTGCCCAAGAGAAAAGTTGAATTATCTGAGGATAGAAACTCCGTCAATAAAAGGTTGAAGATAACCAATTCAATAAGGAACGCCCAATGACTCAGAAATTCTAGTTGATTTGGGGATGACAACTTCATCCATAAAAGGTTGAGGAAACAACTTAATGAGGAATGCTCATTGACTTGCTTGGAGATCACAACTTCATCAATAAAAGATTTAAGTAACTCCAAGAGGAACGCCCACTGACTTGAAGAGGATGCCTCTGGCTGGGCACAAAACTAACTTGAGCTTAATCAACACAAAGTTGACACAACCTCATGAGGAATGCCCATGTATTTATAGAAGATGCCCCTGACTGGGCTGAAGATTGCCTTGGAGTCTCGAGATTGATCCTGGATCTTGACCTACGCATGTACGAATGCTCGATTTTGGTAATGATATTCCCTATCGAATGGAAATGTAAATGCAAATGTTGACGCATGAAGATGCAAGTGCTAGGGAAGTATGTTGGTTTTTGTATGCATAGGATGCAAATGATGCTCATGATGTCAAATTTGATGTATATGATGCGTATGATTGTAGACGGGTGATTAGATATGTTTTTAAGGTGCCAACATGATGGACTTTTGGTAGTTGCCAATGCGGATTGGACTTTGGGTGGTGGGAGGGTTTGATTTCCTCAACACTCAGCTCATTTGAAGACGTCATGATTGAAGCAGACAAAGATACTCTTGATGCCCCAAGTTTGATCCCTTGATGATAAGTTATGGTGTTTGCCTCTGGGAGAATCACAACTTTGTGCTTGACGACCAGGATAACCTGAGAATGAACATAATGACGTGATCCACTCATGAGGATTATACTCTTGCTCTGAACTTGATGATTGCTATGATCTGGAAAGATCTATTTGATTAACTTGAAGATACTTAGAGGATCTTCCTTCTGCAACTGGTCTTGCCCCATTCTAAACATGGTAATGGTTTACCCCTGATTAACCAGTTCTGAAGTGATTTGGTCTTTGGAAGCTAAGCTTTGACGTGCTCTGAGAAAGATTTCCCCTGATTGTGTTGTTGAAAGATTTGACCCTGATTGAGCTGTTGAGGTAGTCTTATTTCAGATTGACACAACTGAGAGTTCAAAATCCTCTTTGATTGCCCCTTGTTAGAGTGTCTTTGATGTCTAGCACTAATTTGCAGTTAAAATTGCACATTCGCAAATGTAAATCTTAATACAATGTTCATGCAAGTTTTTAAAGAGTCATTTATTTGAGTGTTGTAATAATGTGAGACGAGTGGACCGTTAGTCTAGACGTTGTGCTGATTTGTTAGTGCATGAATGATATAGCAAGGAAATTGACACCGATGCTGAAAATTAGAAAATATGTGGGGAGTTAGTTTACGCAACCTTGCAGTAGTATGCTTTCAGAATAAACCTCGCCTCAATTAGGTCTTTTGAGGGTTGTAACATGGTCTGGTTCACGGTTTATGAAAAAAAAGGATATTAGGCTCAAAACATGGTTTATACCCACCCCTTCTTCGTGATGAACTCCAGTCCTATGTTCAGTTACTTCTGCACATATTTGTCTCCCAAAAGGGTTGATGATGTAAGAGTGGTGATTCAGGGGTTGCTCAGAATGTCAGTCACCTTATTTTGTTTTTGATGGATGTTAGTAACGCTTTGATTTGACATGATAGTCACTAGATCTTATTTTGTTTTTGTTGAGATTTCGAGGGCCTCTTTTGATTTTTTTTCAATCACTAACTCTTGCATGGACTGATTTCACTTTTCAACTCCATCGGGA